GCCCAGGCGGCGCTCAGGTGGCCGTTGGCGGCGGTTGACGGCGGTTGGCGGCCGTTGGCGACCGTTGGCGAGGTCGCGGCGCGGGTGGGCGCTGTGGGGCCCGTTGAGGCGGCCGCGCTGCTCCTCTGGCGGCGAAACAGCCCTCACGAGGCCTCCCACGCGGCAGACGAGGCCTGAGAGACCCTCGAGGCACTCGGGCTGTGCGGTCAATAACTGCCCCAGCGCCCTGCGGTTGTGTCTCCCTCCCTGTGTATGCGCCAGGTTGGTGTTAGAAAGCAACCCGTGTAAAATAAAATGGCCATTTATTTATTTATTTATTTATTATTCAGTGGTTGTCTCACATGCTTTTGCTGTTAGGTCACTTGGATGAGCAGAGCCCCGGTTGGTTTTTCCTGGGTCTGTGTTTACGAGCTGTAGCCCTTTCACAATGAAAAAGTCTATCTGGCTCTTGTATCACCCTCCCGACCCTTTTGGGTCCTCTCACCCCTCACCCCTTCCTATGGTCTTGGAAGGTGACAGGGTGAAAGCTAGTCAGTTTAAAGCTGTTTTTTTGCCTTTTCCCCCCCCCCCCGCCTCTCTGGTGCTATTTCCTATTTTTTCCTCCTGCTGCTGCTATGTTGCTAGGCAGACATTCTATACGAGTTACAAATTAGGCTGACTGSATGCAGAGTGAGATATAAGAACTACAGGAGATAAAGTTGTAAGTATAGCAAAGTCAAATTTTTATAGTTGTAGTAAAGAGTCTTGTAGAAAGCAGACAAAGTATACTTATTAAATATGTGTTTTTAAGCTGGCAATCATTAATTATYTAGTATGGTTAGGTTGCAGCAGCAGAAGAGCACGTTTGAGCTGGAAGCTTCCTTTCTGAGGAGATTTTAGCCATCTATAACTTGTTATTACTTAGCAAGCCACAGTCTCCATTGGTGCTGAAGCAAAGGAATGGTTTAGCAGTCTAAGCACGCAAGTATTTACGATCAGGATGGCATGTAAAACATGATTTGGCAAATAGAATAATGGGGGAAGCAAAAGCCTATTGCTGTAATGATAAATATCGTTTACAAGAAACTTCTAGTACTACTGTAAGAAAACTTATTTTTTGGTGTAGCATACATTTACAGTGTGGACACTAAATGTCATTCCTTGGGAAGCATCCTGTTTTGCAGGAAACCACACCTTTTTTGCAGTGGGTGCAACACAGAAAATCTCTGCTATTGAAATAGTAGCCCAGTTTAATAAAGCAGTGCCTACAGGAAGGGTTTTAGGGCAGTGTATCTCATCCAACAGAAGCACAAGCCAARTTTTGAGTTGAGGTTGTTCCTAGCTGCTAGGGAGATGTTTGGAGGTGCACTCCTGCCTGCTAGCTGCCCACGTTGTGCATAGAGCAATTGCCGTGTGATTTGGACTCATTCCAGAGAATCATCCGTTGCCACTCTTAGAATTACTTACAATTCTAGTTTCTGGCACTATAAACCACTGCTTCCCATATGTCTTCTATATGTTGGAGCCTGCTGCTGATCTGTAAACTCATCTTTCATGTTTAACTCTTCATTTCACATGTGCTGTGGTGTATTACTTGCAGTTCGTTTCTGCAGTGCATCAGTCTCTTAGCTACCAGAAAAGCACCTTGAATTTCTGGTTAATCTGTCCTCTTTTCTCCAGAGAACTTTAGATTCATGTGAAGCTTTAGAAACATTAATTTGTGAGAGCTGTTCATAGTCACAAGTGCCAAGCAGGGAACAGGAGGGAGGCAAGTGCCAGAAAAGCTGTGGTGCAGACGTGAAGGTTGAGGCTGCCTATGTTTTAAGATGTCTCTGTCAAGTGTAGCAGGTTGGAAAAGGAGCGTCCACAACCGTGCGGTAGATTCACAACCTGTTAAGGGCCAACTGCCGTTTTTATCAGGAGAGTTTCAGAATCATGACCACTTAAACTGCTGTTGTGAAGGATATTGCATGCTGGTAGAGTGGCTTCCTTTTTTTTTTTTCAACTGAAGCCAAACCCACAATGTTTCTTTATCCTCTTTTCTGGCCTTTTTTTTCACCTTACCCCATCAAATGTGGCATTATGGATGCTGGAAGTTTGAGAGGTCACAAGATAACTGGATATATTCATGAAGCAAACACCAATCAGGAGCTGTTGAACTGTAAACTATCACCTCTGCTTACCTGAGCTACAGATCCCTAGAAATAAAGGGAGTATTTTAAGAAGCTATTACAATCTGCTTGCATTGTTTTTTGGTCTAGACATCCTCTTTTGTCCTCTGAGACAGGACACTCAATCGGGCAGTGTTCTAGTTTGTCTGATATGTATTTTCTTAGGTCTTTACATTCACTTGTTCCTGGGTGGCTGTTTATTGGTAGCTACCTCGTTTTGCTCCCAGCCTTGGTCATCTTGGATCTGCAAGATGTGGTCTTGCTGTTCTGGCCTAGCTGCCGTGCAGCTGAATTGCAGCTCTGCACACTGACAATTGCATTACTCTTGAGCATGCTGCAGATTAGCCCCAGGGCTGCACTGTTTTCTGCAATACGGAAATTGGAGTGACACCAGAAACCTGAGCAAGTGTCTGTTCTGTAGAACAAACAATTCACTTCTAAGAAGCTTGCCCATGGGGCCCGTGCTTAATCCTTTTGCTCTAGGGCAGGAGAAGGGAGAATACAAATCAAAAGTACCTCAATATATTGACAGGTTTAAAAGGGAAAGAAAAAAAGAAGTCTTGCACAGACTGTCGATCCTATTCCTATGCAGGGAGAATAAACACACTGCATTATGAACCATTTTCTAGAGCACCTACAGGCTGTGGAATGACCTCCCATTTTATGCTGTTTGTTTCAGCACCAATACAAGTTCAGCACACAAAGAATGCCAACTCTGTTCCATACAGCAGCGTGTACTTTCAAAGGAGATTTAGCTAACATCCACCCACAAATACGTGAGTCATTACTTTGAAGCACACTCCAGTGTAGACATATCCTGAGTCACTTCCATCTCAGGAGCTTATAAAGGTTTAGTTAGTCACTTAGTTATAATGTAGCACAGCAACAAAGATTCTTTAGAAAAGTCTCTAGATACAAAAAGCTTCTTAGTGAAAAGTGTATGCTTTCATTCTTACAAGTTACTTTTAGCTTTTATTCAGCTCCCNTTTGTGTATGTGGTTAATTGCATATATTTCCCAGTGTTGTTTGTTGTAAGGATGCATTTTTATTTTAGCGATAACTGATGAACATTAATGAGGATGTAACTATAATGATGTAGAGTGACATATAGCTGTTTRTATAAAGATCCCTCTTAACTGAGCTGGTCTAATGGATTTGGGTCAGTGCTGGAGTCAGTGGGGATGTACCTAAACATAAAAATGTGTGAGATGGAAAATATATCAATTCTTTTATTTATTTATGTTTAAAAATGCTCGGGGCTTTGGGAAAGAAAAAAAATGTATTCCTCCCTTTTTCAGGCTGTGGTAGGAAGGGATAGTAACAACAAGGTATTATTTTATAAAAGCATAACTTTGTAATTACAAATGTTTGGGATTTTGTGTGTGTGTGTGTGTGTGTGTGTGTGTAAAAATCAAATAAAATGTGATTCTTCACCTTACATTTCAAATTTGAAATTAACAGATACGCAGAAACTGGTGATTGTTTTAAAGACCGTCTTTCAATGCAAACTGCCGGAGGCCTTTGAATCACACGCTGAACACCCCTTCTCTCTAGCAGAACTGTTTGAGTCCTCTAGCTGAAAGGTAATTGGCAAAAATGAAACCAGGTTGGCTTGTTTGTTCATTTTTTTCTAACCCTTCATTAGCAGTAATTTTTCTGTTTACTATTTTGGTTAATTGATTTCTGCTTTAGTAATACACACAGTTGCCACATGTATGTGCTTTAAATTTTAGAAAAGCAGAACATGTTTATTTCTTCACTGTACTGTAGGAAAACCCACTGTGTCATTTTCTATACAGCACAGACAAAACATGGTTTCTGCCCCTTTTCTGTAGTAAAAAAATATATCCCTATTGACAGGAAAATGATTGTTTTGAGGTGAATACGTGGATAGTAGAAGAACTAACATCTGCTTGAAAGAATACACACTTAGGTAAACTTGGCTGTGGGATGAAAGAGAAGACTAGTTAAGAGGCCAAGCCAACAGATTAATTTGTGTGACCCCAATACAGGTGGTAATTGGAGCAAAGCTGTTCCAAAGAAAGAAAAGGGCTTTGCAACTGTAAAGACAGAAGAACAAAAATAGAGAAGAGAGAGAAGTGGGGGAAAAAAAAGATCAGTTGTTCCCTTACCATCTCATACATACATAAGTATCGTGTGTTTCTATTACAGTGACAAGGGTCAAGATAATCTTGTACTGTATCTATCTGATCTGGATAGAAAGCTGTGTGAGGCTAGCAAAGTCGTTGACTTGGCTTGTAAAATGCATTGCATATCTATGACAGTTAAAAGTACTTGTTACTTGGCTGGTGTATTGACTGTTGCAAAGCCTGATTCGGTACGTCCCTGGTAAAGGCAAGATGGTTGCAAGTCTGCTCAGTGAAGCTATTAATGTTAAGTGAAGTCATAACAGAGGTGGTATCTGCTTCTGTGACCTTTCCCATGAAACTTTACTGATGCAGGAGTCAGCAGTGACATCCACAATGCAGAGAGGAACCACACGGCTCTATTAGCTTTCTTATATACTTGCACTTGCTAGCTGTGCCCTCTGTACCTGGAATATGTATTAAAAGTCTAAAAAGAACATGCTTTACTGGGAATGAGGAAGAGTTCAAGTATTAACTTAAAAAAAGAAAATCCCAAAATATATAAAAATCTGAAAAAAAGGCTCTGTCTAGTGATTCTGTGTCTTCTT